GAAGCAACAAAGCCCACATGGAAGAAGCACACCAGCCTGTGTGATCACGAGGTGTCGATGGGATTCAGGTATCAGATATCAAAGAACAGAAAAAATTATATCATTGTGAATGGGGGTGATGGTGCGGAGTGGAAACCTAAAGCCCATCTGTAGGCAATTGGACATCCCCTTACAGAAGGGTCGTGGGGAAGAGATGAGCCAATCAGGGTGCAGTATAGCAACAATGAAACATACAACTTTCCTCTAGTTCTTAAATGCTTCCTCTCCCCCACTATCATGATCCCAATTATACCTTAAAAACCTAGCTAGATCAGAGGATGTACACTGATACAGATAAGAACTGGAAACACAGGGAATCCAGGACAGATAAACCCCTCAGGACCAATAATGAGAGTAGTGATACCAGGAGAGTAAGGGGAAGGTAGGCAAGAAAGGGGGAAACCAATTCCAATGATCTACCTATAGCCCCCTCCCTGGAGGATGGACAATAGAAAAGTGGATGAAGGGAGACATCAGATAGTGTAAGACATGAACAAATAATGATTATAAATTATCAAGGGTTTGTGAGGGAGGGAGGGGAAAATTGAGCTGATACCAAGAGCTCAAGTAGAAAGCAAATATTTTGAGAATGATGATGGCAACAAATGTACAAATGTGCTTGAAACAATGGATGCACGTATGGATTGTGATAAGAGTTGTACGAGCCCCCGATAAAATGATTTTAAAAAACCTCTTTAGTAGAAAACGAATAGACAATTCTGAAAGAACCAAAGAGCCTGGCAAAGCATCTGGATCTCCCTTTGCAGCCAGCTCTGACGTCTTCCTGAGTGACTGCCTCCTGCTTCTTACAGGAGCAGGATACTCCCAAGTCACAAAGAGCAGTGAAGTTCACTTTGATGGAAGTCTTTGACCGGTTCACCTTTACGTCACAATTCTTCATTGTTTTAAATGGAAAAGCTACCTGAGGCTGATGATGGGATGTTTATTTTGTGAATATGGAAAGGGAGGGAAGCTGTTTTAAAATTTTTCCATTTCTCCCACGGCCCAGGTCTGATTTGAGATGGTTGGAATGTTAGAGAAGGTATGAAACCCTTTCTGCAGCTTTGTCTCCCAGCTCCCCGGCAATAGGACTGGGCCCTGGGCGCTCACCGCGGAGAACCGGAAGGCAAGGAAACAGGCACTGGCCGGCTGGACTGACTGAGGGGCAGCTCGGGTCTGCTGTTCTTATTTAACCCTTTCTCCACCGGGGGAAGAATGAAGTGTTTTGCTTGAACATTCTGTTGGGAAGAATGATTTGTCTCCAAGAAGGTGGGGGGAAAAAAAAAGACACCCTGTATCCAAGAGATTATGTCGAGAAAAACCTTCATATTGATTTTCCTTTCTCAATCTGTGTTATGGCAGGCCTACCTCAGGGAAACCATAAAAGGAAATAGGCATTATTTGCTGGTCTCATCCTTCTTACGATTTCTCCCCATTTCCATTTCCTTTATTCCTCTTGATGAGGA